TCGCATGTCCCAGCCGTTGTCACACACCGTTCCCCACTCATTGCGGTACCAAACCTCCACCCGTCCGGAGCAGCGGCTGGAGCCATTCACCAGCCGGAGCTGCCCTGGAACATGGAAAACAACAGGAGAGAGGAGATTTGGAAGTGGGGGGAGATAACACCAAAGAAAGCTGGAGCCCAGATGGGGAGGAACTTTCTGGCCCAAGAAGTGGAGTCCAGGCAGTAGGATGTAGGGCTCCTGGCTGGGCAAGGAGCCTTTGTCTTCTGAAGTCTCCACTTCCAACTGGTTTTGGTGTGTTGCGGCCCAGAGAGACTGGGCATGGGTTGGGCACGTGTTCCCTCAGCCAAGTGGGCATCAGCCATCCTCTCCCACCACTGCAGCAGCTGTGTTTCACCCTCCTGGGACTGTGAGCACCCCGGGAGCAAGGCTGAGGGCGAGACAGGGAACGGCGCAGTCTGGTGGTTACCCTCAGACGAGGGTATTCACAGAAGACCACTTCACTAGCTCTTAGCCATGGGACAAAGGAAATAGCTGGGGATGCTTGTGGCAGGAGAACCCTTTCTTTCTTCTGCATCCTTCTCCCTGACTGTCCCTACCTTCCTCCTGTGGGGCGGGGGATGTGCGGGAGGGGACAGCCTTGGCTGGGGGAGGGGATCAGAGCAAACCCTCTGGGCTTCTCCACCCACACATGAGCAGCAAGGCCCATGACTGCAAGGTCTCATGTGCGCACCCACCAGACGTTTGAGGAAGGGTGGGTGCCCTCCCTTGAGGGACGCTGGGGCTCTGCTGACTGCTTGGGGGGAGCACAGGGTGGAAGATGCCCTCCCCGACAGCCCGCTCTGGGGTGGTCCTTGCTGTGTCCTGCTGGCAGAGATGGAGACCTTCCATGTACCCACCAGTCACCAACGTGTTCCGAGCAGACACGCTGCTGTTCAGGACAGATTGATTGAAGAGGGACCGGCTTTGGATGCTCCCGGCGAGACGTGGGGCGGGCAGGGCCAGCACACAGGCAAGGAGCAGGAGAGGAGCGCACGGGGCAGCTGGGGGAGGAAGGGGAGAGATGAGAGCCCAGCAGAGCGTCCCGCTGCTGGCGTCACGCGCCTGCGAGGAACGCGCCAGGCTGCCTTCCTAACACGGATCTTGCAGCCGGACGCTTCGCTGTCCCCAGGCTTCCCGGCAGGGCCCAAGGTGCCCAGGAAATGTGGGGAGGAAAATCAAGCAGTCACAAGAGAGTCCTTCGCAGATCAGAAAGACCAAAGTGTTCAAGCACAAACTTCAACAGAAACCTTGCAGAGCATTTTCTGCCCCTCCAGCTCACTGAACAGCTGGATGGTATTTCTTCAGACTTCCCACTACACTCTGGAAAATCCAAAGAAAAAAAACAAGTCGTAATCACATAAAAATAATAATGTTATTCAAATTCATTATAATAAATCCGAACATTCATTTAGAGATGGCGTCAGAGCTGCTCCTCTGGGGGTTACAGCAGTGTCAGGCTGCAAAACATCTGGAAAGGGATGACTTTTCCGACGGCGCCTCTGTTTTGGACACCCCACGACGACGGACCTGGGACAGCAATTGGAAACCGACGCTTTCCACACACTGGTAAAATCAGTCTTACACTTTTAACACGTTTACTCGTAGGTTTATGCCTGCTGGGCTGGAACTAAAGCGCAGTGACTACCTGCTAGACACGAACGCCTCCTCTCCTGTGACCCTGCCGCTGCGCTGCCGGGACAGAGGGCTGCTCCGCGGAGACGACTCGCTGCGACGTTTTTCTTTGTTCAGCATCTTCTCAGGCCCCACTTGCACAGGGAAAGGCCACTCTGACCTTCCCTCTGTCGGTGGGCCCTGTTTGCAGAGACCTGCCCTCGCTCAGCCCGCACCCCGCGCCTCGCCGAGGCTCTCCCCGCTGCGCTCGCAGCCAAGCAAGGTGCGGAGAGCCCCTGTCCCTCCGGCCAGAGCAGCGTGGTGACCGGCTCTGCAGGAGGGTCCGCAGCCCTTGAGCATGCCTCCTCCTTGGCTCCCTGCAGGTCCCCTCGTCCCCACCCGACCCCTCCTGAGCCCTGCTCTGCCCCGACGCTGCCCAGGAGCTGGGCTGAGGGCAGACCCAGTGACTTGCGTGTCCCTCTCAGACCTTCTCCCTCGCCCTGGGAGAAGCAGCACGGACCTCGAGTCTGCCCCTGCTTTGTGCCCAGTGGCATCTCACAGAATCACAGAATGGTAGGGGTTGGAAGGGACCTCTGTGGGTCATCTAGTCCAACCCTCC